AACCAGCATTTGGTGATGTCACCTTTTTTTTAAGGCCAGTCAAGTGAAGCAGTGGGAGTGGAAAAGGAACAAATAAATCTGCAAATGGTTGTGGTCAATTTGTTGCAACACCACTGCACTTGGACCAGCCCGCTATTTCTTACTTTAGCCATTCTCACAGATGTGTAGTGATATCCCATTGTGACTTTAATTTGCATTTCTCTAATGGCTAAAGATGTTGAACATCTCTTCATGTGTTCATCTGCCATCTATACATCTTCAGTGAAATGTCTGGTGTTCATTTTTTAATTGGATTGTCTTCTTACTGTTGAATTTTAAGACTTCATTATATATTCCAAATACAAAGCCTTTGTCACACAAGTTCTTTGCAGATATTTTCGCCCAGTCCATAGTTTGTCTTCATCATCTCCACAGGTATTTTGCGAGAAACAAATTTAAACTTTGATGAAGCCCAATTTACTGGTTTTTGGTACTGTGTCTAAGAACTCATCATCTAGGCCAAAGATTTTCTCATATATTATTTTCTAAAGGTTTTATACTTTTATGCTTTATATTTAAATCTATAATCCATTTTCCACATACAGTTCATTTTTGTACAATGCATAAGGTTTTTTGTTGTTGTTGTTTTGCCAGTAGATATCCAATTGCTCCAGCACTGTAACTTGAAAACTATCCTTTCTCTATTGAATTATTTCTGCACTTCTGTCAAAAATCAGATGGCCATAGGCCAGGCGCAGTGGCTCATGCCTGTAATCCCTACACTTTGAGAGGCTGAGGTTGGATGACTGCTTGAGCCCAGGAGTTTGAATCCAGCCTGGGCAACAGATCCCGTACCTACTAAAAAAAATTGGCCAGGCATGGTGGTGTGCACCTGTAGTCTCAGCTCCCCGGGAGGCTGAGGTGGAAGGGATCGTCTGAGCCTGGGAGTGGAGGCTGCAGTTAGCCATGATTGCACCACTACACTCCACCCTGAGTGACAGGGTGAAACCCTGTCTCGTAAAAAAAAAAAAAAAAAAAAATCAGATATCCATACATGCTTGTGTGGGGCTAATTTATTTTTTATTATCCCATTTTTGTCTCCTTTGTTGGCTTATTAACTCTACCTCCATTTTCATTTTTTGTTGTTTCTTTTAAAATTTCTAGTGTACATCTTTACACTTGTCACACATTTATGTAATATTCTATCACTTCACAGGTAGAACAACTTTGCAACAGCACACACTTTCCAGACTCTTGGCCTTTGTGCTATTTTTGTCATAAATTGTATTTACTGTATCTGGAGATCTTTTTTTTTTTTCTTTTGAGATGGAGTCTCGCTCTGCAGTGAAATGGCACGATCTTGGCTCACCACAACCTCCGCCTCCCGGAGGAGGATTCTCCTGCCTCAGCCTCCCGAGTAGCTGGGATTACAGGCATGCACCATCATACCCAGCTAATTGTATGTTTTTGGTAGAGACAGGGTTTCTCCTTGTTGGTCAGGCTGGTCTCAAACTCTTGACCTTAGGTGATCCACCCACCTCAGCCTCCCAAAGTGCTGGGATTACAGGCATGAGCCACCACACCCGGCCTATCTGGAGATCTTGATTTCATACACCAGATTTCCGTTTTCTATGTTTTCTAAGCTTGCTTAGGTGAGACCAGAGCGGCCATTTAGGGCTAATTTTGCCTCATTAGAAAGGCACTATCTTTGAGTAATTTACCCAGTGCACAGTGATGTTCTACACTATGGCTGCATGGGGTGGGGGGGCGTGGGACAGAACATGGACAACTGCAAGCTCCAGGATTGCTCTGCCTGCACCCTCCTGGGTGGTGGTTCCCTTGGCCTCCAGGAGTGTGTTCACAGGCATGCTGTGGGCTACACGTACAGGAAACCCTTTGCAGGCCTGTGCATGCTACTCCCTGGTACCCTGCCTTACAAACTAGCTGCCTTGGCCTCACTGAATTCTCAACTTTGTCTCAACCCAGGGACACCCCTGGGCTATGTAGCCTGGAAACTAACTCTCCCAACATAAGCCAGGCCACTAGTGTCACTTCATTTGTCTGCTTTCTCTTGGGGACCACTGTGCTACAATGCTTGTTTCCAATTTCTGAACTCTGTTGTCTCCTATTTTGTCCAGATTTTTTAGTTGTTGGTATTGGAAGGATAAATCCACTACCTATGACATCACCACACCCAGGTAACTTCTATATTTTTTGTAGAGGGTTTCGCCATGTTGCCCAGGCTGGTCTCAAACTCCTGGGCTCAAGCAATCCACCCATCTTAGTTTCCCAAAGTGCTGGGATTTACAGGCACGAGCCACCGTGCCTGGCCAATGTTTCTAACAGAAGCTACCACCGTATGCCATATTTGTGACTCCCGTATTTGTTGTAGTAAAAGAGGCTGCAGCACATGACACACTGGCAGCACCAACCCTGCCCAGTGGATGACATCTATCCTTAGACATCCCCACTCCAGGGTTGTCGGGAGTCTATCGCCATTGTTGACACTTCAGTCCCAGTCCTGTCAGTCAACTCTACCCTCCTAGGTAGCTCTTCAATCTACAGTTGACCCTTAAACAATGCAGTAGAAAATCCACATATAACTTTTGACTCCCCCAAAACTTAACTACTAATAGCCTGTTATTGACCTGAAGTCTTACTGATGATATAAACAGTAGATTTACACATATTTTGTATGTTATATGCATTATATACTGTATTCTTGCAACAGTAAATTAGAGAGAATAAAGTGTTATTAAGTAAGTCATAAGGAAGAGAAAATATACTATTCATTAAGTGCAAGTGGATCATCATAAAGGCCTTCATCCTTGTCCTCTTCACATTGAGTAGGCTGAGGAGGAGGAAGAGGGGTTGGTCTTGTCTCAGAGTGGCAGAGGCAGAAGAAATCCGAGTATAAGAGAACCAGTACAGTTTAAATCCATGTTGTTCAAGGGTCAACTGTAAACTTTTATTTAATGGGCAATCCACACACCCAAGTGGTTACAAGTGGTACTACAAAATGTATTATAAAAATATAGTTGAGTTTTGGTTTTTTTTTTGAAAGAATAATGCTCTGTCACCCAGGCTGGAGTGCAGTGGTGTGATCTCAGCTCACTACAACCTCTGCAGCAATTCTCATGCCTCAGCCTCCTGAGTAGCTGGAACTACAGGTGCCTGCCACCACACCTGGCCAATTTTTTGTGGAGATGGGGTTGTATTTTTTTGTAGTCAGGTTAGTCTCAAACTCCTGACCTCGTGATCCACCCACTTTGGCCTCCCAAAGTGCTGGGATTACAGGCGTGAGCCTCTGCACCCAGCTGAACACAATCCTCACCTTTCATGTACTGATTTGTCTTTGTCTGTAACTCCTGCCCCCCCTAGAATGTATAAAACCAAACTGTAATTCTACTGTCTCGGGCACACTTTCTCAGGACCTCTTGAGCCTGTGTTCCCTAGACCACAGTAACTCATACTGGCTGAAAATAAATCTCTTTAAAACATTTTAGTTTGATTTTCCCGTTAAAAGGTAGTTGATTTTTCATAGGTCTTTAACGAGGTCCCTAGAAAGAGGGTTTACGACAATTGAATTTTTTTTTAAAGATTTCTTGGTTAGATAAGAACATTTCAGAAACTCTCTCCCTGTGCACCTGTGGGCGACCCCACCCCCACACACGAACAAGACAAGGTTAGACAGACCTTCTGAGGCAGCTTCTAAGGCCCTTTCAGCATGTCAAAATGCATCTTTGGCGTATCGCTTTTTGCTTAACAAGGAAATGGGATGGGTTGAGTTCATTCTCTCAGTAGACGAAAATCTAGGGATTTAGTCCACATTTGGAGCCAAAAACAGTTATCTTTTTCCAGAGCTTTGAAATGTTGATTCCTTCCCCTCTTCTCCCATCAAACATACAATTGGAAATTTAAGAAGGAAGAATGGAGGGATCTCAAGGTGTAAAGCTTTCTTTAAGTACCCATGGCAGATTCAGATGGCCACTGCTGGTCTTCGGATGTCAACTGCTAACCAGGGTTGCTCAGAACAGCCTCCCGTACAGTTCTCACCCAGAACTCCTGGGGCCCCAAGCTCTGTACCCAACTCTTCACTTGCACTGTGTCCTCTATGATGTCACTGTTATCGTCATCATTTTACAAACACATTGAGACTCCAAGTGGTCGTTCTAGTTCACAGTCAAGAAGCTCTTGTTATCTTCGACTCTGATTAACTGCAAAATGTTCCGCTCGTTTTGACTAGAATCTTGAAAGATCTGCAAACTAAACGGCAGGACTGATGCTCAGTTCTAACCATGGGATATCCAGTCTCTTAAGTGAGGAAACTCACGCCCACATCTAACTTCACACTTTTAAGACAGATCAGAAGGGAGGGGGAAATGCTGCTACACTAGCAGGCATGAATTACAAAGAGAGGAAGTAACTGGCTGTTAGTTTGATGGAGTCGGGATTAAACACCATGTCTGTCCTGGCCTATGCTAAGGGTTGGAGGGGAACGTCTGGGTCATTCAGGCTAAGTAAACGGGAGGCGCAAGCCAAGTTAGTTTGGCTCTTAGTTTGACTCCCTCTTCCCTCCAGTTCCAAGCGCTCGCGTGAAACAGGGTGCCAGGAGGACTACCAGCGTCTGCGCAAGGCCGACGGTGGCAGCACGGCGTTAGGCATCAGGCCCTCTATCCCTGAGCCCAACAGCCGACCGCCACAGCACCGCACCAAAACGGGAACAGCATGTTGAGACGCTGCAGCAACGACAGCCGCTCGCCACCAGCTCCAGTCGGGAGATCTGGAGAGCTTGTGTCTGCTGCTCAATCCCGTGAGGTGCCGCGCATCTCGGCGTTGCACTCTCTTTGGAGCCGAGGCACGACCGTACTCTCCATTGTTTACTTCCGTTGAGCCCTGGGCGCTGCCATTGCAAGCCGGAAATAGGGATTAAGCAATTTAGCCCGAAGAGGGAGCCAGGGCGCCGCCGGGACTAGCCGGAGCCGGAAAAAGAGGTAGGGCGCCGCCATGACAGATTAACTCTAAAGGGAACAGGCTACTAGTCCAATCGGCTACCGGGAAAAAAAACAAGCTGGGGCCGGGCGCCGCCATGGCAACTGATACCGGAAAAGGCGGGTCGTTCCTTCCGGACTGAGCCACACCGGCAAAGATCTCGAGATGTGAGTAGTGGGAGCACGTCTGCCGTAGGTGCTGCCGCACCCCTTCTTACCCAGTGATCTAGACCTAGTCTGGGACCTCCAGAATTAGGACTAGTCTCTCTGCTTCTTGGAGATCCGACCCTCAAGATGCAGCGCCTTCCCTTACAAGCTCCAACCCTCCGCATGCCCAAGCCCCACCTTCTAAGGGTTTAGGCCCTGCCCCCTCTCGTAGCGGCTTAGGACTTCGGTCCAGTCACTCTTCACCCAAGCTCTGCCCCCAGTACCCCAGGTCCGGCCCTCTACACCGAAATCCTAAGACTACAGACTTATTTAGGGACCTCTAGGATTCCTACACCTGTCCTTAGGGCTCCAGGTTCCTCCCTGTTGATCACCAAACTTTACCTTTTGAACCTTCCAGATCTTCCTAGGACCCTAGTCCTCACCTGTAGGATCCATAGACTTGTTCCTAGACCCCTCTGACCTTGCCCGGGATTCCCAGAGCACCAACCTCATCCAGGGCTTCCAGACCTCACGCCCCTGGGGCCTTGAGTCCTACTCCAGGGCCTCAGGTTTCATCTTAAAGAGTCTTTGGCTAAGTAAGACACTTTCCCAGGACCTGAGACCCACCTCCTGGACCTCTAAACCTTATTTTTAGAACCCCCCCAAACCCATTTAGAGGTCTCAAGCTCTCGCTCTAGAATTCTAGATCTTACTTCTAAGGCCCTGAGTCTTCTCTGCATGATCCCCAGGCCTACTCGGGGATGCCTGGATTTCAAGGCCTGTCTTCTAGGATCCTGAAGGCATTGAAAGCTCTCCTCCTGCTTTACAAGCCCCAGGGCTAGGCCTCACCTCTACACTTTGGCCCTATCTCAGCATCCTTCAGACTCCCACATCTGCCCTGGGCACCTAGTCCTACTTCAGACCCAGATTAGAACTACTGCCTTTCTTTGCCAGGCACCATAGCTCATGCCCGTAATCCCGACACTTTGGGAGGTTTAAGCGGGAGGATCTCTTGAGTCCAGGGGTTCGATACCACCCTGGGAACATAGCAAGACCCTGCCTCTACAAAACATAAAAAATCATCTGGGCATGGTGGCTCATGCCTGTGGTCCCAGCTACTTAGGATGTTGAGGCAGGAAGAGCACTTGAATCCAGGAGTTGGAGGCTACAGTGAGTTATGATCATGCCACTACACTCCAGCCTGGGCCACACAGTGACACCCCTGTCTCTTAAAATAAATTAAAAAAAAAAAAATTCCTTTCTTGTCTGCTGCCAAGAATGATCCTCACCCCATCTTGTCCCACAGGCAGGCAGCCCTGGAGATCACCGCTCGCTACTGCGGCCGGGAGCTGGAGCAGTATGGCCAATGTGTGGCCGCCAAACCTGAATCCTGGCAGCGGGACTGTCACTACCTTAAGATGAGCATTGCCCAATGCACATCCGCTCAGTGAGTGTGGGCATGTATGAGACAGTGTGGAGGGTGGGCAGTGGGGTGGGAATCTCCCAGGGTCCAAACTGCCCTACCCCCACAGCCCAATCATCCGTCAGATCCGCCAGGCCTGTGCTCAGCCTTTCGAGGCCTTTGAGGAGTGTCTTCGGCAGAACGAGGCAGCTATGGGCAACTGTGCGGAGCATATGCGCCGCTTCCTGCAGTGCGCTGAGCAGGTGCAACTGCCACGCTCACCTACGACTGTGGAGGTAAGAGGGGCTCACCTCAGTTCATCTCATTTCTCCATAACATCCCCTTCATTATTCTGGTTGTTCTGGGTAAAGACTTTGGAGTCATCCTCAGCCCTACCCCACTACACAGGCCTTTGCCAGACATCCGGGATCCAAAACATCATCACTTCTTGCCCCCTACAGCTCCTGCTTTGGTCTACCACCCCCTCACCCTCCACCTCCAGGATACCTGCCCCAGCCTTCTCCCTGGTCTCCTTTCATCCGTCTTCTCTTGCCTAGATGAGCAAGTGGCCTGGATGAGCACATAGAACTGAAATCTAGTCTCATTACACTTAAGCTTAAAGCTCTTCAGTGGCTTTGCGACACATTGAGAACAAATTCCAGGTCCTTGCTGGATTCTCTGTGTTCTTCCCTAGGCTGACTTCATTAACCTCCTCCTTTACTCTCTCTATTCTTTCTCACTGCACTTCTCAGCTGCACTGGAGAGGGGCTGGACTGGGGTGGCCAAAAAAAGCTCACTCTTTTAAATGTATGTAGTATGTAAACCAGATATGCAGTATATCTGTGATATGTACATTTCATGGTTGGGCAATTAGAACAAAAGTCTAACAAGACTCCTTGGGGAGAGGCAGTAATGGAAAAAGGTTGAGAAATGCTCTCTTAGATGTTTACTGCCTCCCTCACTGTGAGCTCCAAAGGTGAAAGTCCCATCTTTCCCCAGCCCCTCTCAACACCCTCTCCTGAGGCCCTCTCTGTGCCCCTGCAGCCCTGTTTTCTCTCTTGGGCCACCTGACCATCCTTCTCTTAGGCTCCATGTTCCGTCTTGACCTTCCATTCATTCTTGGTGATCATCCGAGACTGATCTCAGAGAAATGTGACCATGTTCTGCTTCTATTTAGAAACCTTTTCATGGTGCTAACTTCCACCAGACCAAGTCTCAACGCCAGAACAGCCCACAGGGTACATCTCCTGCGACCCATGGCCCTACCTCTCCCCACTTTCCCCCTTAAACTCTGTGTTCCAGCCCCAGTGAACATGCAGTTACTCAAGTGCATGTCTCTGCTGCTTTTGTCCAGCTGTTTTCCTCTGCCTGCACTGCCCTTCCTAATCCATCTCCTGGCTAATTCCTATTCCAGCTTAGATGGCACCTCTCTCAGAAGACCTCTCCACCCACTTCCCACCCCTGTCTTCAAGTTTCCAAGTGTCTGAGCCCCTCCATCAAAGCTTACATCCTATACCTGTGTCAGGGGAGCTCTCAGCTGAAGATTGGGGCGATGCCCTTCATACCAGGCCCTGTAGGCATTCATTCATTGTTTTTGTAAGGCAGGGATAAGTGAATAGTTCAGACCCCAAGGGCAGAAACTACAACCCTTGAGAGCCAGTGGGAACTTAATTCTCCTCCGGAAACATTTCCTAATGATCACATACTGTTCTCAGTCAGCTGTTGAGGACATTTCTCTCTTTCAAGTTTTTTGGGCATCCGAACAGTAAAGACCCCATCCTTCTGTCTTAGAGCCATTTGCTGCTTCCCTCTCTGGACCAGCAACCAGCCTCTCCCTGGTCTCCCTATGGCCACCCCTGCCCTGACAGTCTTCTCTTCCCTGGCAGCCAAAGGATCTTTTAAACATGGGAATTAGGGCTGGGCGCAGTGGCTCATGTCTGTAATTCCAGCACTTTGGGAGGCTGAGTTGGGTGGATGAGCTGAGATCAGGAGTTTGAGACCAGCCTGGCCAACATGCCAAAACCCTGTGTCTACTAAAAACACAAAACATTAGCCAGGCCTGGTGATGGGTGCCTGTAATCCCAGCTACCTGGGAGGCTGAGGCAGGAGAATTGCTTGAACCCAGTAGGCAGAGGTTGCAGTGAGCCAAGATTGTGCCACTGCACTCCAGCCTGGGCACAGAGCAAGGTTCTGTCTCTCAACAAAGAAAAAAAAAGGAATTAGGTCACATCTCTCCCCTTTAAAACCTTCTTGTGACTTTTCAGTACACTCAGAGTAACTATACGCAGCTCCTCCCCACCGTCCCCTCCTTCTTGGGGATGGCATCCCAGTTACAATTTTTCCTTCCTAGCTGGGGACAGTGAGGTTTGGGCCTCCCGCATTCTCTGGTCTACACGATTGCAAACACAAACATTCTCATCTCCTACAGCATGGCATGCAGACTTTACAGAACGTCCCGTGTTTTTGTGGCTAACAATTGAAGTGGTTCATGTTCCTGCCACTCCACACACACCTCTGCCCTTTACCCTGATTAAGTTTTCTTCATAGAATTTCTCGCAGGTTGGCATATTTATTGTCTGTCTCTCCCTGCTTGAGTCAGAGAGTTTTGCCTGCTGGGCACATGACAAGTGACGGGTAAATATAGCAGAATGGAGCCTTCCCTGCCCCCCATGACACTTCACCTCAGCTGACTTGTTCACATGACCCAGGGCCAAGGTTATCTCCCTCCGCCTGTGGGCTCTGCAAGGTCACCCTCTGTGGTGTCTACACAGGCTCCCCAGCAGTGGTCCCCAGGCTGGGCACAGAGGAGGTGCTAGTGGATGTTGATGTGCTTTCTCCACAGGCACAGCCACTTCCTGCCTCCTGAGGACTCCTTTGCCTGCAGGAAAACTGGATATGAATGACTGCCCCCTGCACCCCTCCCCTGCAGAGTGGCCAGATGGAGTCCTGAGCCCTGGCTGTGTGACTGGCTTTCCTGGATATCAGGACTTCCAATAAATAAAGACTGCGTATACTGGGCATTGATTCCTGCCATCCATCCCGAGAGGGCCCTAGGAGAGCTGGCTGGGCAGAGTCGTGTGTTACCCAGCTTTACCGAGTGTGCAAAGGAAGGACCAGGGAAGAGCAGGATGCTGCAGCTGTGCCCCAGGGTCGAGACCACCTGCCTCCCTTGTGAACTCTGCCACACAGCCATTTCCTGTCTCCTGCTGCATGTGTATGGGGGAAAGGCCCTCGCTCCTTTCCACTCTAGCATTCCTCTGTTATTTTCTGAACATATATATATATTTTAAAGACAGGGTCTTGCTCTGTTGCCCAGGCTGGAGTGCAGTAGTACACTGATAGCTCACTGTGGCCTCGAACTCCTAGGCTCCAGTGGTCCTCTGCCTCAGCCTCCAGAGTAGCTAGGACTATAAGCAGTTGACACAGCACCAGCTGCACTCTCCAAGTCTGTATTCAGTTTTCTGGAGGCTTGGGGGGATGATAAATAACATGCCTCTCCCTGCTGATTTCAGAATCAGTTGGGCAGTAGTTTGAGGCATTAGGCAATGGAGGTGAAAATACTGGCATTATTACTGAAAACAACTATATGGGAGGATGTGTGGCTTAGAAGGCTATGCACTGGATTTCTTTTCTTTTCTTTCTTTTTTTTTTTTTTTGAGATGGAGTTTTCGCTCTTGTTGCCCAGGCTGGAGTGCAATGGCACGGTCTTGGCTCACTACATCCTCTGCCTCCTGGGTTTAAGTGATTCTTCTGCTTTAGCCTCCCAAGTAGCTGGGATTACAGGTGCCTGCCACCGTGCCCGGCTAATTTTTGTATTTGTAGTAGAGAGAGGGTTTCACCATATTGGTCAGGCTGATCTCAAACTCCTGACTTCAGGTGATCTACCCGCCTCAGCTTCCCAAAGTGCTGGGATTACAGGCATGAGTGACTGCACCTGGCCTATGTGCTGGATTTCTGTTCTCAGTTTCCATTTTTCCAGAAGCCAACTCAGAATTTGAGTGCAGATGGTAGTTTGAGTTTGATTTCACAAACACTGGTAAAGGAATGGAGAAGGGAGATTTAGAGAGGAAGGCGGCCAATAAATGGTGCATTATCAAGCAAGTTACCACTGTGGGCAACTGGGACTCAGTCCCACTGGTGACCTGTGGGAGACTGTATAGAACATACGCAGTTACCCTATGAAGGAGCAAGGGAATTGTGTTTACCAACTTCCCATCTGTCATCAAGGGCTGTTTCCATGGGCATTGACAATCTGGTACTTCTGGCCTGCCCTTCATAGGCCAAGTTTCTTTCTGCCATCAGAAAGAGTCCTAAGCAGAGTATAATGGGATCAGGTAAGCAGTCTTAAACATACAGAAGATGCTGAGTGGATCTGGGAAGATACCAACAGTGACTGCTGCAGCTTCTTCAAGATTCTCAGGAATACAGTCTCCATGGGCACAGCTGTTTGATACAGGCTCCCCACAGGGACAGGTCCTAAAGAGCAGAAAGCAGACAGACATGTATACAGGAGAGAAGGAGACCTCAGAGGGCTGAGCTGAACATACCCATGGCCTGCACCCACATTCACCATTCAGATGAGGCTCTCCTCCCTGGAGGTGATCCCAAACTTCTGGAAATTGGAGTAACTGGCCATTTGATATCCAAGGGTTATGCTCTGCTTGGAAGAATGAGCCTGGCCCATGGGAGTCTCTCCTAGGGATTAATCTCCAAGATGAAGTTGCTAATTGGTTTAGGAGCCAGGTAGAAATCCTGTAAGTTCAGGGTTGCAGGATTTTATACCATTTGTCTCAGCTCAGAGGAACCCCAGGTAGCTTGAGTGGGGTTCTGTGCCATGCAACTAAAAGAAGTGTGATTAAAACAGACAAAATGGTGATCCAGGCTACATTTTAGAACATCTCTATGTGTCCTCTATTTAGAATAGGCTGGACTAGCTTATATGATGGTCTCAGGGGTCCAAGACAGTAAAAATGGAAACTTCAGACATTCACTTTTACCACATTCTATGGATCAAAGAAGTCATAAGCCCAGCTCAGATTAAAGAGGTAGGAAGGCTACTTGGTAGCATTTGACTGCAAAAAAATTGTGCCCATATTTAAACTACTACAAGAACTTCATGGTGTCTCTTTCTTCTTGTGTCTGTTTTGGTAAATTGTATGTTTTTAGCAGTTTCTCGCATTGCTATGGTGTGAGTGTGTTCCCTAAATTTCACGTGTTGGAAACGTAGTCCTCACATTCATGTTGATATTTGAAGATGGGGTCTTTGGGAGGTAATTAAGATTAGACAAGGCCATCAGGGTAGGGCCACCATAATGGGACTGGTGGTTTTATAAGAGGAAAAAAGACCTGAGCTGGTCTGCTCTTGCCCTTTCACCCTGTGATGCTCTCTGCCATGTTATGATGCAGCATGAAGGCCCTCACCAGATGCAGGCACCATGCTCTTGGACTTCCCAGTCTCTAGAACTATAAGAAATTTCTTTTTAGTAAATTATCCTGTATATAGTATTCTGTTAGAGCAACAGAAAATAGACTAAAACATCTACATTTTCAAATTGCCATCAACTTGTTAATAATATTCTCATAATATCTTTTTTTTTTTTAAAGGCTAGTCAAGTGAAGCAGTGGGAGTGGAGAAGGAACAAAATCTGTAACTGGTTGTGATCAGTTAGTTGTAAACACCACTGCACTTGGACCAGCCTCATAGTGTCTTTTTAAGGTTTGTAGAATCTGTAGTGATAACCCCCTTTTCATTTCTGACATCAGTTATCTGTATGCTCTTCTTTTTTTTTCTTGATTGATTTTGAGAGGGAGTTATCAATTTTATCAATCTTCACAGAAATTACATTTGGCTTTGTTGACACTTGATTTTGTATGTTTTTAACTAGTTCTCTTATTTTCTTCTTTCTTTAGATTTAATTTGCTGTTTCTACCTTTTTGAAATCAATGTTTAGCTCACTGATTTTCAGCTTTTTTTTTTCTTTTTTCTTTTTTTTTGAGACAGAGTTTCGCTCTTGTTACCCAGGCTGGAGTGCAATGGTGCAATCTCGGCTCACCATGACCTCCGCCTCCTGGGTTCAAGCAATTCTCCTACCTCAGCCTCCTGAGAGCTGGGATTACAGGCATGCGCCACCATGCCTGGGTAATTTTTTGTATTTTTAGTAGAGACGGGGTTTCACCATGTTGACCAGGATGGTCTCGATCTCTTGACCTCGTGATCCACCCGCCTCGGCCTCCCAAAGTACTGGGATTACAGGCGTGAGCCACTGTGCCCAGCCTCAGCCTTTTTTCTTTACTAATGCACAAAGCGTGGCTTGTGGGTTTCTTTTTTTCAGGATATGTAATTTTACTTGTCCCATAACTGTGAACAAACAAAAAATCATTCTTCAAAACAGAAGATAAAATAACTACAATAACAAAAACCCATGAGTGCATCGCTGAAACTTAGCCAACAGCCATGTTTCCTTCCTGCCATCCCTGCCGACAGTAGTCCTGCTCATTGAAGGTCTTTTTCTTTCACTCCTCCTTTTGCTTATTTTCCCTTCTCTACTCTCTTTTGATTTCTCCATTGACCTCAGATTATTTAGAAGTTTAGAGTCATATTTCTTAATTTCTAAACAGAAGGAGGGTTATTTTTTTGTTATCTTGCCTAATTGAAGTTGGGTTGGGAACATTTTATATTATTTTACTCTTTTGAAATGTGTCGAGCCTTTATGGCTTGGCATATGCTCAGCTTTCGTTAATGTGCCATATGTGCTTGAATCATAATCCTTGGTTCATGATGCACTGTCTGAGCTCAGGTTCCCCTAGAAGCAGACCCTGGGACAAAGAATTTCAGGTTGATCCTAGTAAGCATTATTACGGCAGTCGAAAGGGAGACAGGGACAGTTGCTTTGAGTAAAATTTTCCTCAGTGTTCTGACAAGTGTCAGAATAATTTTTTTAATGGCCCTCCACATTTCTACTCTTTTTTCTTCTTTACATGGACTCTGCAGGTTTCCTTCTACCTCTGGCTATTCTTCCACCTTCTCCCACCCAGCCATGACATAATGATTTTCTTCAAGGCTTATACCAAGCCTCTTGTTATTCTCTACTCTGTGCAGTGATCTCCTTCATGGAGCATATCAGATAAATCATTAGTTCACAGATGGTAATCTCCAGCCCCAGCTTCTGCCTTGGGTTTTCACCTGCTTCCCTGGACCTTCATAAAGATTTCTCAAAGGGAACACTCAGTCCCAAGGTGTCCAGCATTGCAGGCATTGTCTTCCCCAGCTTGTCTTTCTCACACCATTTCTTTGCACCCTGTTCCTGCAGAAGTTTGGTATTATTGTTGTTGCTGTTCTTTTCCCTAGAAGGCCTCACTCCATCTTAAGCCTTGGTATACAATTTCCTTTTGTTCACTATTTATTTATTTAATGTTTGTGATGGGGTCTCACTCTGTCACCCAGGCTGGAGTGCAGTGGTGCGATCTCAGCTCACTGCAACCTCCACCTCCTGGGCTCAGATGATTCTCCAACCTCAGCCTCCTGAGTAGCTGAGACTACAGGCACCAGCCACCATGCCCAGCTAATTTTTTTGTCTTTTTGGTGGAGACAGGTTTTTACCATGTTGTCCAGGCTAGTCTCTAACTCCTGAGCTCAAGAAATCTGCCTGCCTTGGCCTCCCAAAGTGCTGGCATTACATGAGTGAACCACCACGACCAGCCCCTTTTGTTTATTTTAAAGCTGAAATAAGGACTCAGTTAATTTTGTTGTAGTCTTGTCTGGTGAGGGGCGATTCTTCACCCTTGTTGCCGTCCCTCACTCTTCCTGTTTTCTTTTTTTTGAGATGGAGTCTCGTTTTGTCGCCCAGGCTGTAACCTCTGCCTCCTGGGTTCAAGCGATTCTCCTGCCTCAGCCTTCCAAATAGCTGCAATTACAGGCATCCACCACCATGCCAGGCTAATTTTTGTATTTTTAGTAGAGACGGGGTTTCAGCATGTTGGCCAGGCTGGTCTTGAACTCCTGACCTCCTGATCCGCCCGCCTCAGCCTCCCAAAGTGCTGGGATTGCAAGCATGAGCCACCACACCCAGTGTTCTTCCTGTTTTCTAAATATGCAGTCAGTCATTTAGATCACATTACCTCTATGAATAAAAGCCTTTCATGCCAGCTGCATTCTTCAGGCTTTTAAGTTCTTGCAGTTCACCAATTACATCTAGTTACATCTGGATTCCTGCACCATTGCAGATGTGAAGCAGGAGAAAAGAAGGATTTCCTTTTAATCTTTTTTTTTTTTTTTTTTTTTTTTCTGAGACAGAGTCTCACTGTATGGGCCAGGCTGCAGTGCAGTGGCGTTTTCTCAGCTCACTGCAACCTCTGTCTCCCAGGTTCAAGCAGTACTCCTGCCTCAGCCTCTTGAGTAGCTAGGATTACAGATGTGCACCACTATGCCCAGCTAATTTTTTTGTATTTTTAGTAGAGACGAGGTTTCACCATATTGGCCAGGCTGGTCTCAAACTCCTGATCTCAAGTGATCTGCCCACCTGGGCCTCCCAAAATGCTGGGATTACAAGCATGAGCCACTGTGCCTGGGCTTCGTCTTTGTTTTGAAGGCATTGCCTCCTACCCCTTAAGTTCTGCAGTTCCCGAACTTGACGACCTCTGCAGCAAAGATGAGAACGGGGGATGGCATAATAAGAGGAGACAATACTTGCCAATGTTTTCTAAATTAACCCATTAAATTAAAATTTAACATTTTGTTTTTCCTGATCACAGTCCTATCTTTTACTCAGTTGGGGGCATGCACATTTTATCGATCTTAATTTGACGGTTAAATTTTCCTTGAGAACTTGGGAATTTTTTGAAAGTACTTTGCTGGTTTCTATTAGTGTCCTCTACATCCAAAATTCTCATTAAAAGATGCCATTTCCCATCTCTCAAGAATTTATGAATTCAGGCTGGGCATGGTGGCTCATGCCTGCAATCCCAGCACTTTAAAGGGGAGGCCAAGGTGGGCTGATCATCTGAGGTCAGGAGTTCAAGACCCAGCCTGGCCAACATAGTGAAACCCCATCTGTACTAAAAAAATAAAAATTAGCTGGGTGTTGTGGCGGGTGCCTGTAATTCCAGCTACGTGGAGGGTTGAGGCAGTAAGATCGCTTGAGCCCTGGAGGCAGAGGTTGCAGTGAGCCAGGATCATGACACCACTACACTTTAGCCTGGGCATCAGAGTGAGACTCTGTCTCCAAAAAAAAGAAAAAAGGGGCCAAACACAGTGGCTCACGCCTATAATCCCAGCACTTTGGGAGACCGAGGCGGGTGGATCACGGGGTCAAGAGATGGAGACCATCCTGGTCAACAAGGTGAAACCCCGTCTCTACTAAAAATACAAAAATTAGCTGGGCATGGTGGTTCTCACCTGTAGTCCCAGCTACTCGGGAGGCTGAGGCAGGAGAATTGCTTGAACCCAGAAGGCGGAGGTTGCGGTGAGCCGAGATTGTGCCATTGCACTCCAGTCTGGGTAACAACAGCGAAACTCCATCTCAAAAAGAAAAAAGAATTTATAAATTTACATTGTGCACAGGAAGAAAATTATGTGAATGCCTTTCCTAACAGGGAGAGGCCTTCCATGGTCTTGCTCCACCTGGGCTGCCATCTGCACAGCACTTTCTTAGGTATCAAGGCCATCTCAGTATGGAGAGATGCCAGAAGTGGAAGTGTCAGCCAGAACATGTTTTCATTCTGCTTGTCTATATTTGATCAATGTCAGAGAGAGACTCTCAGTTCATAGAGGAAACACCTTATAACCTGTGTTCATGGAGGAGAATCACATACCAAGTGGAATCACCTTAGAGTAAGGCTTGTGTGTGGACACGGTGGCTCATGCCTGTAATCCCAGCACTTTGGGAGGCTGAGGTGGGTGGCTCACTTAAAGTCAGGAGTTCGAGACCTGCCTGGCCAATATGGTGAAACCCTAGCTCTACCGAAAATACAAAAATTAGCCGGGCCTGGTGGTGCATGCCTGTAATCCCAGCTACTTGGGAGGCTGAGGCAGGAGAATCACTTGAACTCAGGAGGTGGACTTCACCCTGGGCTACAGAGCAAGACTCCATCTGAAAAATAAATAGATAAATAAATAGGAGTTTGAGATCAGCCCAACCAACATGGTGAAACCCCATTTCTTCTCAAACTACAAACTTAGCTAGGTGTGGTGGCACATGCCTGTAATCCCAGCTACTTGGAAGGCTGAGGCAGGAGAATTGCTTGAACCTGGGAGGCGGAGGTTGCAGTGAGCCGAGATCACTGCACCCCAGTCTGGGTGACAGAGCAAGACTCTGAATAAAAAAAAAAGAAAGAAAAGTGGAACCGTTTAGTAGATAATAATCAAATTCCCAGTTATCCGCTCCTTCCCTGTGTCAATGTTAAACATTCCCACCTTCATCATATACCCTGTTGGAGGAGGGTACTTCCCTGACCCACAGCCAGCACTGGCTGTTGAGACTTGTGTTAGCCAGTGGAAGGCGAGAAGATGTGACATATGCCACATCTGGGCAGAAGTTTTAAGTGGTATGCATCTTGTAGTTTTGCATTTTGTCTTTCCTCTCCATGTTGTGGGTGTAGCCTGTCTTAGAGGACGATGCTCATTCAGCCTGGGGCCAGGAATGAAAATAGAAACTGAGCAGAGCTACAGGGCAACCTCAGTCCTCCTGTAAAATGATCAAGAACTACATGCTTGTTGTAAGCCACTGAGATACTGTGGTTGTAACAGCAGCAAAACGTCAGTGATACAATAGGAACAGGCAACTCACAAAAGAGGAAAGCAAAAGTTTGCAATCTCTCTAACCATTAGAGGAGTATAGATTCCGGTGAGACTTTTGGTCCTTTAGATTGGCAAAAACTAAAGAGTCTGATAATATCTAGTATTGGCAAGAAAATGTAGAATTAGGCTGGGCGCAGTGGCTCATGCCTGTAATCCCAGCATGTTGGGAGGCTGAGGTGGCTGGATTGCTTGAGGCCAGGAATTTGAGACCAGCCTGACCAACATGGCGAAATCCCGTCTCTACTAAAAATACAAAAATTAGCGGGACCTGGTGGTGCATGCCTGTAATCCCAGCTGCTCCAGGAGGCTGAGGCATAAGAATTGCTTAAATTTGGGAGGTGGAGCCAAGATTGTACCACTGCACTCCAGCCCTGAGTGACACAGTGAGACTCTCTCTCTCAAAAAAAAAAAAAAACAAAACAGGCTCAGTGGCTCACGCCTGTAATCCCAGCACTTTAGGGCCAAGGCAAGCAGATCACGAGGTCAGGAGTTCGAGACTAGCCTGATCAACATGGTGTAACCCCATCTCTACTAAAAATATAAAATTAGCCAGGCATGGTGGCTCATGTCTGTAATCCCAGCTTCTCAGGAGGCCGAGGCAGGAGAATCACTTGAACCTGGGAGGTGGAGGTTACAGTGAGCCGAGATTGTGTCATTGCACTCCAGCCTGGGCAACAAGAGCGAAATTCCATCTTAAAAAAAAAAAAGGAAAAAAATGTAGAAATAGAGCCAAGCATCCTGACTCATATCTCTACTCCCAGCACTTTAGGGGGCCAAAGTGGGAGGATAGCTTGAGACCAAAAGTTTGGGACCAGCCTGGGCAACATAGTGAGACCCCATCTCTAAAGAAAAAAAAAGTAAAATAAAATAAATAGAAAGTGTAGAAATAGGTAACTCATAAGCCATTTTTCATGGTACACACATTTTGGAGGAAAATTGCTGATACATTCCAAACTGTACATGCATGTTTGTGTCTGAGTCCATTTGGATTGGTAGAGGAATTGAAATCAAATATTGAAAACAAATATTCAAAGGGTTCTTACACTCTCTTTGTATTGTTTGAATTTTTGTGACAATTAATTTATGTATTACTTCAACAATTAGTAATAAGCTTAATTTTAATCAAGATTCTCAATATTCAACTTAAGTATTTGTTTGTTTGTTTTGAGATGGAATTTTGCTCTTGTCACCCAGGCTGGAGGGCAATGGCATGATCTCAGCTCACTGCAACCTCTGCCTCCTGGGTTCAAGCTATTCTCCTCCCTCAGCTTCCTGAGTAGCTGGGATTAGAGGTGTGTGCCCACACACCCCACTAATGTTTGTATTTTTAGTGGAGATGGGGTTTCACCATGTTGGCCAGGCTGGTCTCGAACTCCTGACCTCAGGTGATCCGCCCGCCTCAGCCTCCCAAAGTACTGGGATTACAGGCATGAGCCACCACCCCTGGCCAAGTGGTTTTTTTTTTGTTTTTTGTTCTTTTTGCTTTCATTATTATTTATTCTGAATTACTTTGAATCATGCTAGTTCATGGGTCTTAAAAATTTTCTACTCTTTGATTTATTTTTATGTCTTAGTCTTGGGTTGATTGACATTTTAATGTTAATTCTTTTTTGCTATCATTTAGATATTTGTACTTTTCTTTTGAAGTTATACCCATCCTTTACTTAATGACTAAATTCATTTCTAAAAACCTTGCTGTTAAGTGACAAACCTACATATGCAAACAGTATTTCTCAGAGACCCAGCTTGCCGAGCAGCCGCCACCGCCACCGCGCCAGATTCCGGCCGCTGCCACCCTCCGCCGTCCAGCGCCCCTCTGTCTCGGCCCCGGGACCCCGGCTCCCCGCCAGCCCCGGCCCCGGCCCCGGCACCATGTCGGAAAAAAGCGTGGAGGCAGCGGCCGAGTTTAGCGCCAAGGACCTGAAGGAGAAGAAGGAGAAGGTGGAGAAGAAGGCAAGCCCGAAAGAGCGAAAGAAAGAAGTGGTGGAGGAGAAGGAGAACGGGGCTGAAGAGGAAGAAGAAGAAACTGCTGAGGATGGAGAGGAGGAAGATGAAGGGGAAGAAGAAGATGAGGAAGAAGAAGAGGATGACGAAGGGTCCACGCTGAAGAGAACTGCAGAAGAGGAGGATGAAGCGGATCCCAAGCGGCAGAAGACAGAAAATGGGGCATCGGCGTGAGCCCCTGCCAGTAGGCTGGGGGTGGGAGGTCTCTTTGGGCCTGGTTTTGGGGGTGGGGTCAGACAAGTCCAGCCACTCTTCACCTGGCTCCCTGCTCTGGGCCCTGCACCAGAGCTGCCACCCTCTTCTTTCTCCCCATCCTTCTCATTTCCTCCTCCCAGTCACTGCCCCCTCCACCCGCACTCTACCATTGTTCCACCTCCTGACCTGCTCCATCTGAGCTCCCCAGCTGGCCCCCAATTGCTCCTCTCTTTGCTCTTTCTCCCTCCCCTCCCAGCCCTGTCCTTCTTCTGGTAGCCTCTCCCACCTAACCTCTGCATCCCACAGCCTCATGGCCTGCACCATTCCTATCCTGCCTGACCCCTGGATCTCCCTCAGGCCCCCTCTTCTCAGACAGAGCCAGGCCTGGGTGGGGCCGGGGTTGGGGCCAAGCCCCACAGCTGCCCCCCTCCCCTCCTTTTTTTGTGTAATTTAATAAAGAAATGGTAGCGCTTCTGTTAAAAAAAAGAAAAAGAAAACAATATTTCTATTAATTTTAATGAGAAAATTATCTCAATCCAAGAGACCTGAATAATTTTAATGGAAAAATATCAACCAAATAAAGAAAACATATTTATGTCAGTAGTGAACAACAATTTTAATGTAAATAAATATTTGGTGCATAGAACTTCGTGTAATGTAGGTATGTTACCCTCCCCAAAAGAAGAACTCAGGACTTGACCATAGGGGAAGGTGCATTTGCATTTTGCATCATTGCCCTCACCAATTTTTCCGTCTTTTGGGAGCTCATCATTACATTGCCCTCAAAATTCACAGAAAATAAACTTATAGCACCCCAAATACCTTTGAAACAAAATTGAGGCTAAACAAGGTAGTTTCCTAGTATGGAAGCATGGATAGAATTAAGATGCTGTCTCTCCCGCCGACCAGGAGGTGGCACTGTCCCACACAGACCAGAGGCAGCTGCTTCCACGTGAAGCCTCCCGCTGGGAACTGCGTGGGGAGATTTTGGGGTGTGTCTTTGCTGGAAACTCTAAGGTCGAGTATTGGGCCGGGCGCGGTGGCTCAAGCCTGCAATCCCAGCACTTTGGGAGGCCGAGGCGGGTGGATCACGAGGTCAAGAGACCGAAACCATCCCGGTCAACATGGTGAAACCCGTCTCTACTAAAAATACAAAAAGTTCGCTGGGCATGGTGGCGCGTGCCTGTAGTCCCAGCTACTCAGGAGGCTGAGGCAGGAGAATTGCCTGGATCCAGGAGGCGGAGGTTGCGGTGAGCCGAGATTGTGCCATTGCACTCCAGCCTGGGTAACAAGAGCGAAACTCCGTCTCAAAAAAAAAAAAAAAAAATCAAGTATTACTTCTTACGGTGTACTTACTTAGTGGTGTGTTTTTGGGCAGTCACTATACTGTAAAAAGGGAGTCATTACAAAAAGTGGTGTAACTTTAGTTATTAACTGAATGGTGCTATGTACAGGTAAGTCCATAGCCCTGTATTTTATTTTATTATTAATTTTTGAGATGGAGTCCCACTCTGTCACTCAGTGGCGCCATCTCTGCTCACTGCAACCTCCACCTCCAGGGTTCAAGCAATCCTTCTGCCTCAGCCTCCCATGTAGGTGGCATTACAGGCACCCACCATCACACCCAGCTAATATTTGTATTTTTAGTAGAGATGGGGGGGGGGGTCTCACCATGTTGGCCAGGCTGGTCTTGAACTCCTGACCTCAAATGATCTGCCTGCTTCCACCTCCCAAAGTGCTGGGATTACAGGCGTGAACCACCATGCCTGGCCAATAGCCCTGTTTTAAAAGTACATCGTTTATTCTTTCTACTTCTTAGGTTGGACAAGTGTTTATTAGATTATTTTTAAAAACACAAAAGAAATAAAAGCAGACTATGTATAGAATGATGATGAGACTGTATCATGAAAAAAATTTTGATCCATCTAAGTCTGAACTCTTGAGGTACAAAAATTAGAAAGAAGGAATTGGTAAAATTAAAAATTAATTCAAACCTGATGTGAGTAAAACAGGAAATAATAACAAGGCAAAAAATGATTGAAAGGATATGAACAGACACTTTACGAAAGAAGACATATATGAGGCCAACAATCATATGAAAAAATGCTCATCGTCACTGGTCATCAGAGAGATGCAAATCAAAACCACATTGAGATACCATCTCATGCCAGTTAGAATGGCGATCATTAAAAAATCTGGAGACAACAGATGCTGGAGAGGATGTGGAGAAAAAGGAACACTTTTACACTGTTGGTGGGAGTGTAAATTAGTTCAACCATTGTGGAAGACAGTGTGGCGATTCCTCAAGGCCTTAGAAATAGAAATTCCATTTGACCCAGCAATCCCATTACTGGGTATATATCCAAAAGACTATAAATCGTTCTACTATAAGGACACATGTACACGAATGTTCATTGCAGCACTGTTTACAATAGCAAAGACCTGGAATCAACCCAAATGCCCATTGATAATAGACTGGATTGGAAAAATGTGGCACATATACACCATGGAATATTATGCAGCAATCAGAAATGATGAGTTTGTGTCGTTTGTAGGTACATGGATGAATCTGGAGAACATCATCCTCAGCAAACTGACACAAGAACAGAAAATGAAACACCGCATATTCTCACTCACAGGCAGGTGATGAAAAATGAGAACACATGGACACAGAAAGGGGAGTACTAAACACTGGGGTCTATTGGGGGGAAAAGGGGAGGGCCAGTGGGAGGGGTGGTGGGGAGGGATAGCCTGGGGAGAAATGCCAAATGTGGGTGAAGGGGAGAAGCAAAGCAAAGCACACTGCCATGTGCGTACCTACGCAACTGTCTTGCATGCTCTGCTCATGTACCCCAAAACCTAAAATCCAATAAAAAATTAAAAATAAATAAATAAAAATAAAAAAATGATTGAAAGGATTAATCCCAAACTGCTTCTTTCAGGATAAACTATATGCACCCTTCAGGAGCCTGCGTAAAGATAAAGTAAAAGGTTAAAAAGAGATGCATTTAGAAATCAGAAAGGAAATGTAATCAGAAGTTGTCTGCAGGCTACTGCATGCCACTCTAGTCAAAATACTTCCTGCTGAACTTCTAAGGATCATATTCAACACAGATGTAGAAAACACGAGTGTCTTAGTTACTGTGGAAAAGTTTGGAAAGGTGATCAAAATGCTTTTTTTTTTTTTTGAGATGGAGTCTCACTCTGTCACCCAGGCTGGAGCACAATGGCATGATCTCGGCTCACTGCAACCTCTGTCTCCCAGGTTCAAGCGATTCTCCTGCCTCAGCCTCCTGAGTAGCTGGGATTACAGGCACGCATCGCCACACCTGGTTAATTTTTCATATTTTTGGTGGAGATGGGGCTTCACCATGTTGGTCTCAGACTCCTAACCTCAAGTGATCAACCCGCCTCAGCCTCCCAAAGTGTTAGAATTACAGGCATGAGCCGCCACTCCCAGCCGGGAGGAGATTTTAAAGGTCAGCAGAGTCAGGAGGGGTAAGACAGATTGAGCCACACAAGGAAATTTTGTTGTTGTTTTTAGATAGTGGAAGGGGACCAGAGAAACCTGTGTCCAGAAAATTAATTTTTTTCTTACATCTTGGGTAGAGTTTCTCGGCTTTTAAAGTCAGAGGTCCTCAATTTAAGGTCTCTCAATAGGATGGGAGTAGTAGTTAGACTGAGGGCAATGGTGATAGCCAGGACAAGGTCACCAAAAGATTCTGAGATGACAGGCCAAGCCAGCTGTTCTGCAGGCAAGAGCCAAGAGAGATCTGGGGTGTTCCTTCACCACCGTCGTGGCTTTCATGTTTTTCATGGCTGTGATGTAGGTATAGCCAGTCCCTGCAGTCCTTGCTTGGTCTGATACACACCACAGTTTATCCGTTTATTCCTAAGCAGCACAGGTTTTTTTTGTTTTTGATTTTGTTTTTTGGTGCAACTTGTGCCACCTAAACATTTTCCACTCCCTCACATAGTAGGCCATGCCAGGACTACTTGGGAGTCATCACTTCACACTCATGATCAGTATCATCAACGTCTATAACTGCTCAGATCCAGGAAGCTTAGCTGGACAGTAGAAGAAGCATCAGCTTAGAGTTTCCCACCCCTTGACTTTTAGCTACTTGCTAATTCCAGTAGTTTGGTTTCCCCAGGGGTAAGCATGGGAGGAAAAGGAGAAATAAGAAGAGTACATTGCGTGGTTTGAGTCTATTACAGCCAGTCTGGGCCTCCTCCCTGACTCTTCAAACTCACACAGGTTCTATTTAAAAAGGAAGTTTCGGCCAGGCACGGTGGCTCACGTCTGTAATCCCAGCACTTTGGGAGGCTGAGGTGGGCGGATCACGAGGTCAAGAGATCGAGACCATGGTGAAATCCCGTCTCTACTAAAAAATACAAAAATTAGCTGGGTGTGGTGGTGCGTGCCTGTGGTCACAGCTACTTGGGAGGCTGAAGCAGGAGAACTGCTTGAACCCGGGAGCTGGAGGTTGCAGTGAGCCAAGATTGCACCACTGCACTCTAGCCTGGTGCCTGGCAACAGAGCAAGACTCTGTCTCAAAAAAAAAAAAAAAAAAAAAAAAGGAAGTTCCCTTTTGGGGAATTGGCACATTTAGAATCCATATTGTCTGTTTTAAGTGTGTACTCAATTGAGAATTGAGCTTTGGCTGTCTGTGTACCTTTTTTAGCTTCTCCTCTAAGCATCCATCTCTCTCTCTCTCTCTCTCTCTCTCTCTCTCTTTTTTTTTTTTTGAAGCAGAGTCCCATTCTGTCACTCAAGCTGGAGTGCAGTGGTTCAATCATGGCTCACTGTAACCTCAGCCTCCTGGGCCCAGGTGATCCTCTCACCTCAGCCTCCCAAGTAGCTGAGACCACAGGCACATAGCACCACGCCTGGCTAATTTTTTTTTTTTTTTAATGTAGAGACAGAGTTTCACCATGTTGCCCAGGCTGGTCTCAAGTGATCCACCCACCTCAGCCTCCCAAATTATTAGGATTAGACATGAGCAACCGCACCTGGCCTCATTCCAACCTCTAATGGCATCTATTGCCTGTGGGTGATGAGGGTCCCAAGATGTCCTGGGAATGTCCAAGGTGGTTGGCCAGTGTTGGATACTCTTGACTACAAATACAGCATCATTTGATAAGACACATTCAGGGAATCTCAGCATGTAACACAGGTCATCTGCGAGTCCCTCAATTTATGTTACATATAGCTCATATCTGTGGTAAGGACCTACATTACCATGCCATGCCCAGAAAGATGCCTACTGTAGGCAGTGCCTAATTGTATCCCCAAGAGGAGCACTTAGGAGATTATATAGCCTATTTGTCAGGGCTGGCCAGAACCTGGTGTCCTGGGTTCATATGTGCCCTAGAGTTTTCTTTGCCCCTTGACTGACAGGCTCATTTGCCAGACTTTGGTGGCTTTCTGTGCAGGAGCCATTTATCTTTGCTTTGGGTCCTAGTCCTGCATTGTAGACGGAATGCTGTGGCCACTGTGATGGTGTTTTCACTTGTCCTTACCTGGAAGGCACAAGTCTGATCAGGTTTTGAATTCTCCTCATGCTTGTTTTTGTGGACGTTCACATCCATAAAACAGAGGGCAGTAGTGCACTTGAGGTCAAGAGTTCGAGACCAGCCTGGCCA